CAGGGGAGAGATAAGCATTTAGACGAATGAACAGACATATTTGTTATGGGCTGGGAAAGGAGAAGCCCAGAGTTCAACGGGAGGGCTGAGCAAGAAAATTCACGGAGGAGAATAATAAGTCCCACTGTCATGACAAGAACACTGCTATGTCTGTGATCTTACACATCTTTGCTTAAGTGCTCTATCTAGTCTGAAACCAGCTTGGGGAAGCTGGAGGTTTTGCTAGAGTAAAAAGAAAGAAAGTAACACACAGTCAAAATTCTGCTTGGAGTCTAGGAAAGATTTTTTTATTTACGAAAAGGCACTATAAAACTTAAGATGAATAAACACTGTTTTTTTCCTTTTCTTTTTAAAGCAAAATGCTGAACTACAATCAGAATATTTAGAAGAGGGCTGGACTGGTGGCTGTGATGGGAAACTGTGGGCTTCTGACGTTGCCTGGACCCCAGAGTTAGCCATGATCCTGCCTGGGATGCAGGCCTGGAGGGCAGGGCCTACCTGAGCGGTGTTTGCCCTGAAGCCAAACCCAAGCAGCCAGGAGAGTCCTGAACCTGGAGCTGCTATGAATATTCATAGAAAAGTTTTTGTTTAAATTCCTGATTTCAACTACTCTGGATATATCCCTAGGAATGGAATTGCTGGGTCATATGAAAATTCTCTGTTTAGCTTATCAAGTAAATTAACCCCGGGTACATTTTTAAACCTTGTGAAGTCTCAGATTAGCTTCCCTGATAGCTCAGTTGGTAAAGAATTCACCTGCAATGAAGGAGACCCCGGTTCAATTCCTGGGTTGGGAAGATCCGCTGGAGAAGGGAAAGGCTACCCACTCCAGCATTCTTGGACTTCCCTTGAGGCTCAGCTGCCTGCCATGTGGGAGACCTGGGTTTTATTCTGGTCTAGAGAATTCCATGGACTGTATAGTCCATGGGATCACAAAGAGTCGGACACGACTGGGCAACTTTCACTTTCATGCAGTTGACTGGGCTTCCCAGGTGGCACTAGTGGTAAAGAACCCGCCTGCCAGTGCAGGAGAGATGAGACTCTGGTTCGATCCCTAGGTTGGGAAGATTCCCCTGGAGGAGGGCATAGCAAGTCATTCCAGTATTTGTCTGGAGAATCTCATGGACAGAGGAGCCTGGCAGGCTAGAGTCAGTCCATAGGGTCACAAAGAGTCAGACACGACTGAAGCAACTTAGCAGGCATACACGCAACCAAGTTACTTAAACTCCCTGTGCCTCAGTTTCCCTAGCTGTAAGATAGCAATAATAAAAGCATTCTACTTTATAAGGTTGCTGTGAGGATCAAATGCAAAGTTCTGGAAGCTGTGTGTCTGGCACCTGGTAAGCACTCCCCTCTGTGTTAGCCATTAGCTCTATTCATGAACCTATCTTTGTTCCCAAGCCTCTTTCCCTCCTGCCTTATTTCTGCTATGTCTTCTTCCCCCCCCCCATCTTTTTTTACATTTCCTTTTTAACTCTATCCTAGTGCTGATCTATGTTTTCTCCTGAATGAAACACTCAGGCCTCCAGACCCCAAGTCTCTTCTCAAACCCAGCCCTTCCTCATGATGCGGATCCATACATGATTCTGGTCATGTGCCTTCTACTCCTCAAAAACCTTACTGCCCACAAAATAAAACCAACTCTCAAGGGTGAGCATACAGTCTTCCCTGAGCTGGTCCCAAGAATTCTTTCCAGTCTTACCTCTTGCTGACATCATCATAATTATTATTTTAAAATAAACTCTGGGGAAATTCCCTGGTGGTGATTTTATACTGCTATCAGCCACATATGAGGGTTCTGATTGCTCTGTATTTTTTCAATACTTGGCGTTGTAAGAGTCTTCACTTAAAAAGAGTCCCTCGGATGATTCTGTTTCACAATCAGGCTTAGGAACCTATAGACTGGACTTGTTGCAGTTCCCTGAATATTATTAACTAATATTAACTGAGCACTTGCTAAGTGTCTGCTTCTTTCCCAAGATCTTTATTAATGTTTTGTCATTTAAATATTGCAACAACTCTGTGAAAGAGACACTATGTTTCTATTTTACAGATGAGGACAGTTAGGTACAGGGAGGTGGAGTAACTTGCGTAAGGTCACATAGCTCATAAGCAACATAAGTTGGGTTTGAAATAGGCACTTTGGCTCTTCTCCATCAGTTGAACCACTGACTTTTACTTTCCCATACAAATTGTGTATAAATCCCCTATTGAGCTTAATCAATAATTGCTGACATTATTTTTTTTAATCTTTATTTATTATTTGGCTGTGTCAGGTCTTAATTGCAGCATGTAGGCTCTTTCCTCGAGGAGCATGAATTCTCTAGTGTCGTGCAGACTCCATAGCTGTGGCACACAGGCTTAGTTGCTCCACAGCATGTGGGATCTTAGTTCTCCTACCTGGGATCTAACCCACGTCCCATGCATTGCAAGGCAGATTCTTAACTACTGGACCATGAGGGAAGTCCCTGCCATTATTATTTTTACTCAAATCCCACTCATCTTTCAAAGTTCAGCTCAAATTCCACATCCTCTATCCGGGCTTCTGTTTCCCCCTCTCCTTCTTCCTCTGTGTAATCCCTCAGTGTAATCATAAATCCTGCAGAAATGTATGAGACTTTGGGGCTGACTTTTATTTAGATAAGATGTTTTGCACCATCTTATCATGGTCATTTTATTTATAAGGGCACTGAAATCAGGGTCACTCCATGTTTATCTTTCTATTCCCAGCATGTTGACCTGAATTTAATGTTCTTGTAAATATGGTTGCCCCTCTGTAACCATGGGTTTCACAGATTTAACCAACCATGGATGGAAAATATTCTGAAGAAAAAACTTCCAAAAAGTTTCAAAAAGCAAAATTTAATTTGCCCCTGTCTGGCAACTATTTACATAGCATTTAAACTGTATTCTTACAGTTATTGCTATGTAAATAGCATTTACATTGTACTTGATATCATAAGTAATCTAGAGATGAATTTAAAGTATATTGAGAGAATGGGACTTGCCTGGTGATCCAGTGGTTAAGACTCCAAATTTTGCAGGCTCGATCCCTGGTCAGGAACTATGCGCCTCATGGCCAAAAGGTTTTTTTAAAAAATGTATATGGGAGGATGTTGCATTGGCTTTATGCAAATACTATACCATTTTATAGAAGAGACTTTAGCAGCAAAGGATTTTTCTATGGGGTGGGGGAAGTCCTAGACCCAATCCTCCATGCATATGAGGAACAATTCTGTGCTACAGGCAGAATCGCAGATGTCCTTTACAGGGAGTTGACTTGGAGAGATAACAGGGGATCACAGAAATCAGCTTGCCTTTTCCCTAGGGAAAAACACACCCCTTTACTTTCTTCCTACTGAGTGAAAATGGATGTGCCGTTTTAAGGGGACCTGCTTCTTGTCACTGTAGGCTACAGGAGACCACGTTATGTGACATTGTTAATTACCCAATGAAGCTGTTATCTTCTGCCTGGCTGCCTCCTCCAAGGCCTCTGCTTGTTGTCTGGCCTGGCCTCACTGGTCAGCTTCTTGCTAGTTGCAAGACTACCAGATTATAATAAGTCATTTTTTCCCATACCAATGTATGAAAAACAGGGCCAGGTACATAACTTGTGAGACCGGGTGAAAAAAAAAATGCAGGACTTCTTGTTCAAAATTTATTCAATATTTTCAGAAGGGCATTAAACCAAGAGTAGGGCCCCACAGGTGTCACACCGGTGAAGCCTGCCTGGATGAAAAAGGGACTGAGCCCTTCTCAGCTGACAAAAACCAATCACACAAAGTTGAGCATGTGGCCAATAATCTCCAAAGGCTTCCACTTCCCTTCTTGGTACAAAGACTGCTGAAAAGGAAACCACCCCTGTTCTGTGTTACATTTAGGTTGATTGTTATGTATTGAACAGTGTCATCCAATTCCCTGATAGCGCAGTTGGTAAAGAATCCGCCTGCAATGAAGGAGACCCCGGTTCCAATCCTGGGTCAGGAAGATCTGCTGGAAAAGGGATAGGCTACCCACTCCAGTATTCCTGGGCTTCCCTTGTGGCTCAGCTGGTAAAGAATTCGCCTGCAGTGTGGGAGACCTGGGTTCGATCCCCGGGTTGGGAAGATCCCCTGGAAAAGGGGAACGCTACCCACTCCAGTATTCTGATCTGGAGACTTCCATGGACTGTATAGTCCATGGGGTCGCAAAGAGTCAGACACGACTGGGCGACTTTCAATTTCAACGCCAAGTATGCGGTATTTGGAAATGGGGTCTTTGCAGATGATCAGTTAAGATGAGGTCATTGGTACAACCCTAATCCCATATGGCTGGTGTCCTTATAAAGGGGGGGGGGGTGGAACTGGGACACAGAGACATGCATAAAGAAAATGATGTGAGGGCATGAACACTGGGGGGCTGCGGCGGGGGGGGGGGGGGTAGGGGGGAAACGACACATTGTGACCATGAAGGCAGAAATGGCATGATGCACCATCACCCCAACAAATGCCAGAGATTGCCGGAAGGGAAGAGATTCTTCTGCATTGCCTTGAGATCGAACCCTGCCCAACACCTTGATCTCAGACTTCTAGCCTCTAGAACTATGAGACACTAATATATTTCTGTCCTTTAAGCCACTCAGTTTATGGCACTACATCCACCAACCAGAGCAGGTTCCTCCTGTTACTCTCTTGCCCTTGCCAAACTTCTGACACACCTGGCAAAACAGATATCCCAACCAGATTGGAACAAGGATGGGCTAAGCACAATGGCAGTTTTGTTTTTTTCAAGACCTTTTTTCCTACAGAGATACGGAGCGTCTACAGCAGCAAGGCCTTTGAGGTCACTTTTTAGGAAAACAGAAGACTGCCTTCCCTTCTCAGCCCGTTTTAAGGAAGCATATGTTAGTATCCTATAAACTGAGGACTTTTTCCAACGTCCCCCAACTTAACATGGACTGTGCCCTGCCTGCCACTCAGTATGATGTCCCACACTTAGGAGTGTAACTTTCAAGACTGAGGTCACAGATGAACAGGCAACATTGGCTCAGATTCCTGCATCCTTAACCACAGGAAGGATCCGCCCTTCTTCCTGGCCCTCCTAGGGCGCCGCAAACTGGGTTCGCCCAGCGGTTCTTTGAGCTGAGGCAAGGGTCGGGGCGGCGCCGCCTGCCCTGGGTGCCTAACGTCTCGGGCCACCCCTGGGAAGGGAAAGAGCAAGTGGGACTGGGGGCAGAGGGGCGGGGGTGCTGCTTTGTGAGGAAACAATTTGCAGAGGCTGCCAAACCGGGAGTCTGCAGGGACGGCCCTCCCTAAACGGCCTTGAGCAACCCGAGCCACGGAGCAAGCCAGTGTCCTCAGGCTCAGGCTGAGGGACCCCGCGCGGGCCGCACGCACCCCAGCATGGTCACCGAACCCGTGCTCCCCAGCCGCAGCCGCGACTCCGGGTGACGCCACCGCCGCGGGTTGCATCAGCCCGCGCCCACAGGCCTTGGCCCGCCCTTCCGCCCACGGAACTGGGCGCCGATTGGGCCACGTTAGGGCAGGGGCCTCCGCCTCAGCCAATGGGCGACAGCCACAAAGGGTTCTGTCCGCAGAGTCCGGGCGCGGGATGCCTATAAAAGGTGCCGGAGGCGGGGGCGCGCGCCCCAGAGACTGGAACCGTCGTTGCGGGGGTTGCTGGCGGCTGGGACGCTTCCTCCCTGCTGTCTGGGGGCGCCGTCGACATGGAGCCTGAGCCCGAGCCTGAACCCGTCACGCTCCTGGTGAAGAGCCCCAACCAGCGCCACCGAGACTTGGAGCTGAGCACCGACCGCAGCTGGAGCGTGGGCCGCCTTAAGGCCCATCTGAGCCGCGTCTACCCCGAGCGCCCGGTGAGAGGGGGGCCCCGACTCCCGCTGCCAGCACCCCGCCACCCCGGCTGTCATCCTCGCAGCCCTCGTGGCGCCCCCTCCCCCCTAGAGATGCCGTGTCCACCTCCCCTCCCTGCATTCTCTCCCTTCGCCGGCCGTCCGCCAATGGCTGCTCCCCCCAAGGCCAGTTTCCCAGGCCTGTGGTCACCCCCTTTTAGTGCCCTGCCGCCCTAGGCGCCCCTTGACCTGGCCCCGTGACTGCCACTTCCTCCTCCCCGGCCGCCATCGCCCCGCCTTCCTGACGGGGCCGCCTTCCCCTGTCACGTAGCCTCCTAGGTCCCCAAACTCTGCCGTATACCTCTCCAGACCCCTTCCCGTCCCCTCGATCTGGCTTCCAGCCTTAGCCAAGCCGCTGAAACAGCAGTTTGACCTTGAGTGAATCGTTTCATCCTCCAAACCTCAGTTTCCCCCAAACGTCAGAGCGACGTGTTCCTGGTTAGGATTGTATCCGATTAGGTTAGAAATAAGGAAACGTGAAGGCTGCAAACTGGATTTTCTGATGTGGCCTCTCACTGGGGAGAGGAGAGGGCAGGGGCTAAGCCCAGGCTAGTGGCCACAGAGAAGCGTGGTGAGCGCCGGGCGGTGTGTACCGAAGGCCCCACACCCAGGAGCAAGGACGTGGCTCTTCCCCTCCGGGTCCACCTTCCGCCTTGGGGCCCCTCCCTGTGAGCTGGACTCCACGGCGTCTGCCTAGTCCCAGGGAGGAGGCTCGTGCACTTTCTGCTAAAGAGTGACTTAGAACGCAAATAGGTGGAAGGAACCTACCCGAGTCTGGGTTTTAAAGACTTTGGGCCCTCAATTACAGAGATTTCCTCGCTTTGTTTTGGTTGACACATCTGTCAACATCACCCTTAGCGATGGCCCTCCCTCCCCACAACGTGATGGAAGCCATGAACTGGACCTTCCTGTGTTTACTTTCTAATTTTTTTTATTCTAATATTATGTAAGTGTCAGCAGTGTTCTTTGCTGCCCAGGACTGTAATTCCCCTCTGTCAAACAGAAGAGGGCATCAGGTCAGGATGAGATTGTGAAATTGTCCCTCCCTATCTGAAGCGTTATTACGTGCCATGGCTCATGGGTCAGGTTGTTTTTGTTCCCTGTTGTCAAGAAGGTGGAAGTGTGAGTGTCCCTTCTGAGGCGTTCTTTTGAAATTTACTTATTTGTTTAAGAGGCTCCCATTTTGTTATCATTTATCTTGGCACTGTTTGCAAGGTCACCATAGTTGCTTCCAAGAAACCAGGTGTTAAGCTGCTATGAGAATGGCTATTAGGTACACAAATTGGCGAGGCAGGTGTAGGCTCTTGTTGCATCATTTGGTGAAAGGCCGTGTTTTGGAGGAGAGCTTTCCTTTTGCGCTTCCCTGGGTGAGAAGCATCACTCTGGTCTGAGGACCTAAAGTTATAAGTAAAAGGTCTCTCAGATATGTAAATTTGTGCTTAAAAATTATGGCTGAAGCACACTCATCATTTGCTTTGTAATGTGAGAAGGCTTACTTTTGATAGTGGTTTGCTTAATGTATTTTTCTTCAAATCAGCATTCTGGGTAAAGACACCAGGGTCAGTTCAGACCTTTAACAGGCCTCAAATCACAGACACCTGTGGTTTTCAAACCTTTCCTAGTGTGAAACTCTTTAATAATGCAGGATCCCACCTATGCAATAACATTTACAAGTCCAAGTGTATAGCGTTTACTTTAAAAGTTCAGTTGTTGAGAATGATGGTGAACACAACATTCAGTATATTTCTGTGGTTTGTTAAACTTGCCCAGTGTCCAAAAAAAATCCTGATTTACACAGATAAATTGATACTGTTATTGTTTTGTTTTAAACAGCTTGCTTTTGTATCTCTGGCTACTTTGCAGGAATGGGTTTATTCCAAATTTTGCACAGTTGGTTATTCTGGCAAGAGTAGGTTAAGAAGTTGGTGATGCTCTCCAGTGTACTGACTTTGGTGTATATCATTTGAAGCCTTTAAGTTCAATTTTTAAGGGAATTAAAAATAGATTTTAAAAGTGAGATCTGTATAAAAGTGTGTGGCACCACTGTGGTTTTAAAATCTCTGGAATGGAGAAGAGGGTTAGGAATCTTGACTTTAGCAGCACGTGACCTTGGACAAGTGAATTTTAGACTTTCCCCCTCCCCCTTAAAATTGCTTGCTAAGATGCTTCAGTCGTGTCTGACTCTTTGCTACGCTATGGCCTGTAGCCTGCCAGGCTCCTCTTGTCCGTGGAATTCTCCAGGTAAGAATACTGGATTGAGCCTTCCTGACCCAGAGATCTAACCCACATTAAAATAGGCATACTAAATATCTCACAGGGTTGTGTGGAGTGCTGCCACACACCGTCTCCTCTCTAGCTGCGTTTGTATGTTGAGAAAAGTCTCTTGGAGGGCTTAAGTTTATAACTGCTTCGGTTATCTTGGGATGGTGTTCTGTGGTTTTAGTGAAGGCTCGCTTTGAGTTCTCTTGAGACCAAACGAGGTTTTGAAGTTGGTTGCTGTAGGAACTCCAGATTGGTGCTTTTTGTGGCAGAAAGCAGTCTCCCTAGCAGTTAAGTAGGTTGCCATAGGCTTTGTGGACTGGATGTAGTTTGCCATCCTAAATTTGTTTGCATGTTAGAAATCAGTTTAAAGTTGAGAATTTTCTAAATAAAAGTATATGGGGCCTTTGGGAAAATGTTCTCCTATGATGCTGGGGGGAAAAAAATTTAAATATTTGTATAAAACAGTGTCTTCTGTTTGAGAACTTGCAGCACTAAGTGCTGACCTGTGCTACTCTTTCTTTCCATAAGCGTCCAGAGGACCAGAGGTTAATTTATTCCGGAAAGCTGTTGTTGGATCACCAGTGTCTCAGGGACTTGCTTCCAAAGGTATCACTTAATATTATTAACTTTTTGAATGTTTTTAAGCACCAGCTGGGTTGAATTCAAGTCCTAAAGTATTTCCTTATTACTTTCAGCAGGAAAAACGGCATGTTATGCATCTGGTGTGCAATGTGAAGAGTACTTCAAAAATGCCAGAAGCCGGTGCAAAGGTAAGTCTGCTTTTTCATGACTGTGGCAGTTTGTGTCATTCAGACTGTCAAGGTAGAAATAAAGGAAGTTGGGTTAAACTCATAAGCGAGCCTTTTTATCATGTAATATTTTGTCTCTTCCCCAGTGAGAATCAGGAATAAACTGTTATCAATACAAATGAGAGTTTACTATAATAGAAGTAGAGTGTTCTATTAGTCTTGTAGTGGAAAAGTGGAGTTCTGCAGTATACTCTTTCTCTGGGACACAATTTGACTTATAGTGGCTCAGAGTCCAGATTGCCAAAGTAGCAAGGCAGTCATGAATTTAGTACATAATAAATTTCTTCTAAGGAACCATTCATTTTTATAGAGTAAAAAAGTGACTCTATTTCCTTTGGAAAATTTCATTTGTTGGGATAGGAAAAGACCACAGTCTTTATAAAGACTCATGTTAAATGGTTAAAGTCCCTTGTTTTTCATTTCACAGTGTTAGTTTAAATATACACTATTAATATTCTAATGTGGTGATACACTCTAAAATTGCATTACAGCAGTACATCCTGAAACATCTGAATGTACTATAAGAAATACTTCAGGTCTGTGTTGTATTTATAAGCCTTATCAGTCGAATTTAATTTCTTGATTTAGCAAATTTAATACCATAAGATGAATAGAGCATTAATAGGAAGCTATTGCTTTCTCAGCAATGATAACTTCATTGGAAGATTTCAGTGAAATCACAGCATAGCTACTCTAGGAAAAAAGTATAGATTTAGTATCTCTGTATTGATACTGTGTTGAGAAAATTTCAGAATATCTTTATGTAACATTGTGTCTATTTTGATTTTGTCAAGTTCAGAGGTCAGGGTTGGGACATAAGCCATTCACAGCGAAAGAATCCTTGAAGCTTGATTTCAGACAGTTGCATCAGGCCTTTTGTTCTTGTGTTCATGTTGCACTTAGGTTGCTGAAGCCACAGAGCAGCCCACTGGTCTGAATCAGGGACAGTCCCCTGGGGATTCCTCAAGCGACGGTTTAAGGCAGAGGGAGGTTCTTCGGAACCCTTCTCCCTCTGGATGGGAGAACATCTCAAGGTGAGTGTTGTCATAAAGAACGTGAACGTGCATTATTTGCATCAACTTACGAAAAAGCTGTGTTTGTACTTTAAGTCATGGAACTTTAAAAGGGACACAGTTTTGCTTTATAAGGGTTTCACTCTAAAGATCTTTTGTGTATTTAGCTTAATACATGGCCTTGTAGGAACATCTAAAAAGTAGAGAGGCACATCATGCAAATCTGGGCATCTCTCCTCCTACGTGGGTGTGCCTCGCACGGCGCTGACCTCACGGTGGGAATCGGTGCTGCTGCGCTGGAACAGCTGTTGTCAGCACTCTGCATCCGCTTTGCTGAGTGGCTTTGTGCGTTGTTGTAACAGTGGCTGACAAAAGGTGAAGGTATCATTGGAGAAATGCTCTGCCAGGAACTGTGTTGGTGGAGTTAGGAGAGAGGGGGTACAATTAGAGCTTTTCTTTAGAGCAAAAGCCGGAAGTGTCTAAATGGTGTGCTGTTTGTATTTCACAGCCCTTAGAACACCTTTTAGGAAAGATCCTATGGGAAAAAAACAGTTTATTAATTATGAGTTGAAACTGTGTTACTTTCTGAGTCCCCTGCCTTCTGTTCCTTGGTTTTTAATACCTGATTGTTGACAGTCAGGTGTTTGAGGAATGAAGAGTTGGTTTTTTTCTTAGTGGAAATTTCAAATACACATGAAAGTAGAGAGAACTATATAATGAATCTTCATGTAATGATTAAAATTTTTTGCCATACTTGTGTTATCTATTCCTCCTTTCCTTTTATCCTGAGGTATTTAAAAATAATTCTCAGACATTGTCAGTTCACCCCCATATACTTCAGGATATAAAAACCTTGTAGTTACCGTGTGTATCTGGAGTGTCATCATCAGAGTTAACAAAAAAACTTTATTTTGTCATTTCTACACACACTGTCTTTTTGCAGTTTTTATTGACATGGGGCTTCCCAGGTGGCTCAGTGGTAAAGAATCCACCTGCCAATCAATGCAGGAGATCCAGGTTTGATCCCTGAGTTGGGAAGATCCCCTGGAGGAGAAAATGACAACCCACTCCAGTACTTTTGCCTGGAAAATCCCATGGACAGAGGAAACCCAAAGGCTACAGTCCATGGCATAGCAAAGAGCTGGACGCGACTGAGCAACTGAGCGTGAAGTCCCAGTTGTCTTACAGTGTTGTATGGCCAAGTGACGCAGCTATACACGTATATACATTCTTTTTAAATTTTTATTTTCCACTGTGGTTTATCACAGGATATTGAGTATAGTTCCCTGTGTTATACATTAGGACCTTGTATCTTTAAATAATCAAAAACAGTATCGTACCACGACATACTTGTATTAGAATACAATTTTAGAAGTACTCCGGGTATGGAATTTGGTTAAAATACTGTTGTCAGCGTACAAGTCGGATAATCGAATTCAATTATTGGATAGATGCTCTTAAAACTGCTTTTCTTTTTTTGACTGTATGATTTGAAAGTTGAGGCTCATATCTCTGTGAATTTCACCATCATAAAACTTGTTGATTTCCTCCAACAAATATTTATTGGACAGACCAGTGCATGCACCTTTGTTTAAGGATATGAGTTGAGCAGCACAGATGACCACGCAACTATTCTGGTCTTTCTGCAGTTGTGTTAGTTTGTATTTTGTGATGTGATGCCAAAGAAGTTCACTGTGTAGGGCTCACAGGCAGAAGATGACTCCCACACACACCCTGCCCCAGGCTGTGCTGAATGACAAACGCAAGAGTTTGGTGTCATATAAACAGGGCTTGGATCCAGCCCTACTACTTAGGAGTTGAGCGGCCTCATCCAGATCCTTTGTCCTCCCTGAGCTGTCCTCAGGCTCCCCTCTATAAATGGAGTGGCTGGAGAGCGCCACAGACTTGCTGGGGATCCAGTGAGATGGCAGCCTGGTGGCCTCACAGGGCACAGGTGGTCAGTAAGCATGGCTGGGTGATGCCGCACGTAACTCTGCCCCCTTTATATTTCATATCTAGGGTTGGGAGAGAAATGGTGTTGGGAGAAGGGGAGGATTTCCTGCAGAAAAGGCTTTGGAGAGATGTGACTTTTTCAAGCTGCTCCCTGAAGGATGAATAGTGGGGTTTAGACCTTCAGTGAGACTCTACAAGTCTAAAATAAGGGTGGGGATCCACTCAGACTGAAAAGGTCCAGCTTGTTTGTACATCAGGGTGATGACATGAGAACCCAGTGCTGGGCGAGGGCCCTTGCTTTCGCATGGGATCCAGACCCTGGCAGGAGGGCTCTGTCAGTACCTTCTGTGATTGTATTGCACTGGTGACTCGCCCGGAAATCTACGTGTAACTGTCACAAAGCCCAGTCATCCCTCTCTTTCTGTTTTGAATTCCTGATTGTGATTTAAACTTGGTTTTCATTGATTCATACTAAGCCAACTCAAAACGAGCATTTTTTATCTTTCACAGGCCTGAAGCAGCCCAGCCGGCGTTCCAGGGCCTGGGGCCTGGTTTCTCGGGCTACACAACCTACGGGTGGCTGCAGCTCTCCTGGTTCCAGCAGATGTACGCGCGGCAGTACTACATGCAGTAGTGAGTGTTTCCCCGCCTGCTGGGTGTGGCCAGGGCTCCCGGGAGTGGAAGGAGCGCACGTCCATGATTCCTGTAAAGCTAGAAATGGAGGGATGAGTGTGTTTTCATTATTATCTGCAGAGTCCTGTTGTGTCTGGTTCTGTGGGTGGAACAGTATAAATGGTAACTACTAACTTGTGTATTGACATAGGTGTGCTTGTGTGTGATCCATGGTTTGATGACTTTATGTAGAATATGTTCCTTCCTTTTCAATTTGTGGTATCTCTCAATGGTTTATGAAAATTTTAATTTACTATTGCACTGTACTTTCTTGGTGGCCTTGGAGATGAAATTTACCCAGTGGCTTCCCTTAGGAGCAGAAAAGCTTTTAAAGATATGATTGTTAGTAAAGAAGTTCTTTGTTACCTTAAAGAAAACCAGCATTTGTATATCCCTACTTATAATTCTTAAAAGATCCTTGTGTAAATGAGATGATGAGAACCGGTCTTCAGGATGCCTTGCTCTCAACAGTATCTGCCTCTGTTGTTTTTATCTTAGCTTAGCGGCCACTGCTGCGTCAGGGGCTTTTGTCCCCTCACCAAGTGCACAAGAGATACCTGTGGTCACTGCACCTGCTCCAGCCCCAATCCACAACCAGTTTCCAGCTGAAAACCAGCCCGCCAATCAGAACGCTGCTCCACAAGTGGTGGTTAATCCTGGGGCCAATCAGAATCTGCGGATGAATGCTCAAGGAGGCCCCATTGTGGAAGAAGATGATGAGATAAATCGAGATTGGTTGGATTGGACCTATTCGGCCGCTACATTTTCCGTGTTTCTCAGTATCCTCTATTTCTACTCCTCCCTGAGCCGATTCCTCATGGTCATGGGGGCCACCGTGGTTATGTACCTGTAAGCAGATGGTTTCGCTTTTATTCCCTCTCTACTACAAATTACACTATGTGATGACTCAAACCAAGTGCACACTTTCCTCTTTTGAGCAGTTTCAGTCAATATTTAAGGAGGTATATTTAAGTAATAAGTCATTCTGGCATTTTCAGTATAAAGAATTGATGGCTTGGTTGTGCATTGCCAACAATACAATTAAATCTGTATTTATACAAGAACAACATTCTCTTCTTTTCCTCTAGTTAAGCTACCTGCCAGGCTTCTTTTCACACTGAGGCATGGAAAGAAAAATTGTGTTTGTGTTGAATAAGAACATATTTATCTTTTACCAGGCTACAGCTGCCTTCTGGGATGAAGGCCACTGGCTGTGGCATAGTCCTAAAGGGTCAGGGAACTGTTGCAGGCCTGGCATTTTGCTGTACCCATGGTGCTAGTAGTTCTCAACCAAAATGGTTTTACATCTCCCTCTAACCCTAACCCTTACCCTCAAGACGTTTGGCAGTGTTTGGGGACATTTTTAGCTATCACAGTGGCGATGGTGGTGGGGCGAGGTGGTTCTACTGGCATCCAGCTGATAGCTGCTGAACATGCTACGGTACACAGTTCAGCCCCACAGTAAATACCCAGCCTGGGACATCAGCAGTGCCAAAGTGGGGAGCCCTGGCCTGGAGTGACGTGTCCTTATTTGTGGTGAAAACTGACTGAAGACATTTTTCCTCTATAGGAAAAATGGATTTTTTTAGTTTTTGAAAATCTTAGAAATATTTAGAAAAATGCATTCAGTACTCACATCCAGTATTAATCATGGTTAATATTTTGTCGTGTTTGCTTCAAGACTTGGATTTAAGTGGATTTTCCAGATAAAGCTTTTAGGTAATTTTTAAATTCTATTGTCTCTAGAATCATATATTTAGGTGACCAAATCTAAGTCTTATTAGTATGTTATGACATATAGTCACAGCTGTGTATGTATTTCCTCTTTTCCTCTCTGTTCAAGTTTTCAAGTGTAAGGTTTAGTTTAGATGAGCAAGTATGTATAGAGCACATACTGTGTGCCAAGTGCTCTTTCTGTTGCTGGGCACACGGTAATAAATAAGACATAGTTTCCATAGTGACCATCAAGAACCTCACATTCCACCTGGCCTGGTAGAATGTGTCTGCAGATGGGTCAGGCTTCAAGCTTTAATCGGGTCCTGTTCTGAGGAGAGGAGGGGAGCGAGGGGGGGGTCTCATCTCATCAAGAGGGCCCTTAAATTCTTGAGTACATCTCACTCTATTCACTAAGATGGACTTAATGTGCTTCCTTCGAAGGCATCACGTCGGGTGGTTTCCCTTTCGACAGAGGCCAGTTCAGAACTTCCCGAATGGTGGTCCTCCTCAGGAGGCTGTGAATCAAGACCCCAACAATAACTTCCAGGTATGGAGCTTCCAGTGAGCCCGGTGTGAAGTGCCGGGCCCTGGAGTCCTTCATCTTTAATTAAATACCTTGTGGTTTTTTCCATTTTATTAGACTAAATATTTCAAGATTGTTTCAAATTTATTCTTAGAGCAGTAGCTATTTTTAAAACAGTCACAAAATCCATCAGGTATTTTTGTTGTGTGGCAATTTGCATTTTGGCTCATGTAAATAGTTTTTGAAACTATTTTGAGTGTTCATGCTTAGTAACAATGTATTATACCATGGAAACTGCTAATGGAGAGTTATTCTAATTAAGAGTTAGGAACATATGCCTGTCTCTCTCTCAGAATAGATTTCTTGGAAAATAACATACAGAAATAGGATTTCTATAAGGCACTTTAATGCACAATCCTAAAGGAGATTCTTTTTAATATAAAGTATCACTGTAGTATCTGTTTTTAGAATTCTGTGTTTCCAGTTTTAGTTGCTTTTTTTTTTTTTTAAGCTAGGAACACTGCCGAAATTAGAAAAATATTAAGTGGCAAGCTTAATTACTAAATAATAGTTGAAGGTGTAGTTACTTCATTTGATACTGTGGCCAGGGATACTGAAAACTATGAGAGCGCTCCAGCACACTTGTGCTGTGGAGGCCAGAGGAGGAGCTCCTTCCAGCCTGCGACGTCATCCCCGCGGTCATGCCTGCATCGCTTGGCTTATGCGCAGGGACCCAGGGAGTCACTCTGCCCTTGCCTAATGTTATTGGGTGCTTGTCACAGTCCTAATTGTTTTCTCCTTGTGTTTTATTCCCTACAGGAGGGTCCTGATCCTGAAATTGAAGATCCCAGCCACCTCCCTCCAGACAGGGATGTACGGGGTGATGAGCAGACCAGCCCTTCATTTATGAGCACAGCCTGGCTTGTCTTCAAGACTTTCTTTGCCTCTCTCCTTCCAGAAGGCCCTCCAGCCATAGCAAACTGACGGTGTTTCCTCTCTGGCTGCTGGAGGCTTTGACAGGCGTGGACTGATCATCTGATTCTGGCTCGATTTCGTTACCTGGACATGGCAGTGGCACAGAAATAGTATAAGAATCTACAAAGAGGGTGATATGCTTTTGTGATTAAGCAAAAGCAGAAAGTAAGACATGAAGCCATGATACAAATTGATGAACAAAAAATGCCTACAGGCTTCTCATGTCTTTATTCTGAAGAGCTTTAATATATACGTAGTTTAATAGGCATTGTAAGTAGAAGGCATTAGTTTCGCATGTTTATGCCTGAGGAACTTTTCCAGATGTGTGTGTCTGCATGAGTGTTTGTACATAGACGTCATAGACGCAGAAATGATTCTGCTGGTACAATTTGATTCCTGTTGGAATGTTTAAATTACACTAAGTGTACTACTTTATATAATCATTGAAATTGCTAGACATGTTTTAGCAGGACTTTTCTAGGAAAGACTTATGTATAATTGCTTTTTAAAATGCAGTGCTTTACTTTAAACCAAGAGAAGCTTTGCAGAGGTGAAAACCTTTGCTGGGTTTTCTGTTCAATAAAGTTTTACTATGAATGACCCTGGCAGAGACTCCTGTCATCTTAGTTGTTTATTCTGTGCCTATCATCACTGGATGGTCAGCAGTTGAGTTGCTGATTTTTGAGTAACCTGAATATTTTGCTTCTTTTTATAAAAGGACCATTTGTACTGATTAAGAAGATAAGGTAAGGCCACGGAAGTTTTAACTTACTGAGATTATGCTTGTGTTTGCCCTGCACCCCCCATTTCCTGATTTAAACAATACTGGCTTATGTTGTAACCCATCAGCATTAAACTCCCCCGATTTAAAGTTAGTGGCTTTGAGTACTTTTCACCTGCTCACTTGTCATGCTGAGCTTTACTTTTGGACTTTAATCTTTCTTTTAAGTATTATTTTTGAGACTAATCTGAAAAGTAAAGTGCTGTGTATTTTTCACATGAATGATGCTGTAAGTAGAATGCTAAAGGCCTGGGAATGTTGTTTTCAGCAAAGTAAATCCGCGTCTTGCGTCATGGTCATTTATTTATGGCTGCACTAGATCTTTGTTGCTTTTTTTTTTTTTGCACAGGCTTTCTCTAGTTGCAGTGAGCAGGGCTACTCTTCATTGTGGTGCGAGGGCTTCTTCCTGACGTGGCTTCTCTTGTCACAGAGCACAGGCTCTAGGCATGCGGACTTTGGTAGCTGCAGCATGCAGGCTCAGCAGTTGCGGTTCACGGGCCCTAGAGCTTTCGGGTGGCTTGGTAGTTGTGGTTCACAGGCTTAGTTGCTCCACGGCAGGTGGAACCTTCCCAGATCAGGGATCAAACCTGTGTCCCCTACATTGACAGGCAGATTCCTATCCACTGCACCACTAGGGATGCCCTGGTCGTGATCATGTAAACGTCATTGTTTACAGTGATGACTGGAAACATCATTGACATCCAACAAACATTCCCTGAACAGTTCACAGCCAGGTGCTGGGTAGAGGCAAAGCTGTTTTATGTGTGTGTGTGTGTGCACGTGCGTGGTCAGTCACTCAGTCGTGTCTGACTCTTTGCAACCCCATGGACTGTAGCCCATGAGGCTCTTCTGTCCATGGGATCTTCCCAACCCAGGGTTCGAGCTGGTATCTGCTGCATTGGCAGGTGGATTCTTAACCTCTATCACCATCTGGAAAGAACTCCAATTTTATCTATGACTGTGCTTTTAAAAGCCAACCAAGATACCATGTAAGGAGTAAAATAGCATAGAGTTTCAAATAACACCAGACCTCTGGAACAGACGACTGACCAGTCAGGAGCCACTGATGATTGACGAGTTACAAAGGCGCTATTTGCTTGAAGGAAGAAGCAACTAGAGACAAGGTTCTGCAATTTTACGAGTGAGAAGTGGGTGATGGCAAGAGACTGAGGAGCTGCAGAGAAGGGTCACTGCTGAAACGAGAGTGCAGAGACGAGACTCCCTTCCTGCCGTGGAGCTGGATTCCTGGTGTACTTGGCCATTGATCAAAGTGGTCATTAAGAATTGATATGAAGTCATTTAAAAAATCCTGAGTGGAGAAGCCTATCGTTTTATGGAGCAGGAGCAGCATCGCTTGGAAAAGACGCCTGGAACCCCAGGCAGCTGGCAGTGCTGGGCTCCTGGTTTTGAAGTAGTGAGGCCACTCACTCTCCCTGTGGTGTCTGGTTGCATCAGTTAAACTCCAGATTCCACAGGCTCAGAATAGGTGCTCCTAAGGACAGCTGACAAGGGTTCAAATTGTCCCTAGCCACATTAAGAAAGGAACCTTCAGACAAGAGTCAAGGCTTAAAGACTTATGAATGGTGCGAGATATGGCAAAAAGAACTTTCCACAACAGTTACTAACTGTGCAGTCACTGAAGAATGTACTGCATACCACTGTTAATACTTTGGAAATTGTTGGTTTGAGTCTCTGTTGTTAAGTAGCAGTTAAAAAGCTGAAAGCATAAACCAAAAAATTTCCCAAATGTTAGCTCAGGCCGTCATCGCTTTTTAAGTTAGTGTTTTTCAAGGTGTGTTTCTTGAACCCTCGTTCTATAGAAGGAACACTCCAGAGAGAGAGCTTGTGCTCAGTCGCTCAGTTGTGTCCAAGTCTTTGCAATCCCATGGACTGTAGCCCACCAGGCTCCTCAGTCCCTGGGATTTTCCAGATAGGAAGACTGGAGTGGGTTGCCATTTCCTTCTCCAGGGAACCTTATCGCCCAGGGATTGAACTGGCGTCTCCTGCTTCGGCAGGTGGATTCTTGACCACTGTGCCACCTGGGAGGCCCCGGGAAAATGATCTCACAGCCAGGTAAATCTGGAAGCCTCAAGTTGACACAAGTTGGTGGGTTTCTTCACTGCAGGGCTCCGAGGGCATTTACTATCCCGATGTGCATTCGAAGGAGGGTGTGTGGTCTGTGGCCTCTCCCTTCTGTGGACCCGCCCAGGACTGAAAAATGGGCCACAGCTGAGGAAATGCAGTTAAGTTACTGTTAATGAACAGCTTGTTTGGACAGCACACAGGTGCTTGGTGAGAAATGACCTTATACATCCATAATGAGCAATGGAGGTAAATACTCTTTAGATGGCTAGGGAGGGGATCAGAAGCCAATCGGATCTATGGTCTGGCTAGTAGAGAAAGGTTCCAAGTCATCTTTGTCAGAAGAAGCTCTCTCACCTGTTTCTAAGGGAGTTAACCCTTTGTGTGAAGAAACTGCAATGGCCCCCCCGAGGGAGTTCCCTTGAGAGAAGCGGCTGATTCTTCTCAGGACCTACACCTCCCCCACCTCTCTTTGCTTCTACATCTATAACCAGACGCAAGTCCCAGCAGGCCTCAAGAAGTGAACAGCTGTGGGCAGCACACCTAAAGAACTGCATGATTTTTCCCACTTATACGGCCAGTTCCAGGGTGGGGTGAGAATGGATATTATTCATAGGTGTGGGCTAGTGGTGGAAGCAACATCAAGTTGGATCAGGCTGGATTTATTTTTTGTTAATTTTTTTAAAAATGTATTTATTTTTGGCTATGCTGGTTCTTCGTTGCTTCACGGGCTTTCTCTGGTTGCGGTGAGTGGGGGCTACCCTCCAGCGCAGTGCAGAGGCTTCCCATTGCAGAGGCCTCTCTCACTGTAGAGCCCAGGCTCTAGGCTCATGGGCTCAGTAGTTACTCTGTGGCATGTGGGGCCTTCCCACACCAGGGATCGAACCCATGTCCCCTGCACTGGCAGGCAGACTCTACCACTGAGCCACCAGGGAAGCCCAGCCTGGATTTACTAACAGTCCACTGAACAGAGATTCTTTTTTTTTTAATTAATTATTTTAATTGGAGCCTAATTACTTTACAATATTGTAGTGGTTTTTGCCATACATGGACATGAAGCAGCCATGGGTTTACATGTGTCCCCCATCCTGAACCCCATTCCCACCTCCCTCCCCATTAAGCAAAGATTGTGTTTGTTTCAGCGTGAAAAATGAGAAATAGTTCCGATAGTTAAGTTGGCTGAAACATAGACTGAAGGGTGGCCCACCCTAAGGAACTGAAATGACAGAACTACCTTGGTATACTGTAGAAGGTATTCATCATAGGGAGATTGGAATGTTTGGTGTGAATTTATCATGTCAGACCTGCTCACCCACCCTGGGAGGGTCCAGAGGACACACCTTTCACATGTAGCCCACTGGGCTCCTCTCTCCATGGGACTTCCCAGGAAGAAGACTGGAGTGGGTTGCCACTTCCTTCTTCAGGGTAGTAATACAGTACTTTTATTTTTTTTTTTATTTTATATTTTGTCAGCATGATGTGTTTTATTTATTTTTGAATGTCTTGGCCACCCCCTGTGGCATGTGGGATCTTAGTTCCCCCAACTAGGGATCAAACCTACACCCACCCCTGTACTGGAAGCACAGATGCCCAACCAACCACTGGACCAGGGAAGTCCCTACAGTATTTTTAAATTATGATATGTACTGTTTTATTAGACATTATGTTACTCCCCACTTAATCGACTATGGTATAATGTAAACATAACTTTTATGGGCATTAGGAAACCAAAAAGTTCGTATGACTCACTTTATTAGAATACTTGCTTTATTGCAGGGGCCTGGGACTGAACCTGCAGTACCTCGGAGGTGCGCCTGTACTTAGCAACAGGCAGAATCCCCACCCTGGTTCCCTCACTTGTGGAGTGAGGCTTATTATGGAAAACCAAGTGGAAGTCACAAGAACTGCCTGTACCCAGGAAAGTGTACACGGAGACCAATGCCACATCCCCAGAGGGAGTGCAGAAATCAGCGCCACCATCAAGGACTTAAGAGATGCAGTGGTGCTGACCCCACATCTCTGTTCAACCCTCATTCTCTGCAGAAGACAGGTGGGTCATGGAGGATGACCTTTGTTGTTTAGTCACTCTGTCGTGTCTGACTGTTTGCAACCCCATGGACTGCAGCACACCAGGCCTCCCTGACCTCCATCTCCCAGACCTTTCTCAAACTCATGTCCATTGATTGCATCAGTGATGCAATTCAACCATCTCCTCTGTCGTCCCCTTCTCTTCCTGCCTTCAATCTTTCTCAGCATCAGGATCTTTTCCAATGAGTTGGCTGTTTGCATTAGGTGGCTAAAGTATTGAAACTTCAGCTTCAGCATCAGTCCTTCCAGTGAATATTCAGGGTTAATTTCCTTTAGGATTGACTGGTTTGATCTCCTTGCAGTCCAAGGGATTCTCAAGAGTCTTCTCCAACACCACAGTTCAAAGCCATCAATTCTTTGGCACTCAACCTTCTTTATGGTTCAACTCTCACATCCATACATTACTGGAAAAATCATAGCTTTGACTATACAGACCTTTGTTGGCAAAGTGATATACTTTTAATATACTGCTTTTTAATATAATGTCTAGGTTTGTCATAGCTTTTCTTCCAAGGAGCAAGTGTCTTTAATTTCATGGCTCCAGTCACCATCTGCAGTGATTTTGGAGCCCAAGAAAGTAAAGTCTCTCACTGTTTCCACTGTTTCCCCATCCATTTGCCATGAAGTAATGGAACTAGATACCATGATCTTCGTTTGTTGAAATGTGTGGACATGGGTGATCATAAATTGATTATCATTGGTGGCTGGAGGTGGTTACTTCAATTGCAGCTGCTCTTCCATGTAGTTTCATTACTTGAGCAAATTACACATCCCCTGTTCCTGGTTTACAGCTACTGATCCAACAGGTGCTTTTTCTTTAATGCCTGTTAGTTAAAACCACAAGAAGCAGTTTGCTTTCAATTGGCCAGACCAAAGATACTCGTTCACCATCCTGCCTCAGGTGTATCAACTCTGCCGCCCAATATAATTACAATTTGGTCTGCAGGGATCTTGATCACCTTTTCCTTCCACAAAATATCCCACCAGCTGAACACTGATGATAAAAGGGAATTCTATCTAGCAAGACATTTGCATTGTCAGATGGTGGGAAATAAATTCCAAAAAGAGTCAGGGGCCTTCCACCTCAGTGAAATTTCTAGTGATGTTATGGTTGGGTGCATGTCAAGATAGGTTTTTTCAGACAAGTTATTGGCATCCGGCCCCTCCTACAGCCAAAAAACCAGGCACAACATAAAATTGTCCTCTGGATTTTGGAGCAATGTAGTCCTCATTCGGGTGTGTCACTCTGGCTTATTTACTCTGAGGCCCAAGTGACCTGAAAAGCTGCCTGTTCTGAGTGGGGCCCAGAGCAAGAGAAAGATTGGCATCTTCTATTCTCTGCAGATAAGTCCCTTCCCTCCTGAGTAACTGCTGAGCCGTTGGATTTACACCTGCAATGACCCTATTTGCAAAGATGTTCACATCCCGAGGTTCTGGATGGGCACAAACTTGGGATACAATTCAACCCACACAGGGAGAAGTGCTTCCAGGAGACACAACGATGATTCCATCAAACTGGGAGCTCAGCTCCCCAGCCACTTCGGGCTCTCATGCCTCCAGAATCAACAGGCAGAGAAGGGCATTATCATATTGGCGTGGCTGGTTGAATCTGACTATCAGGAAATTGGGCTGCTACTACACAAATGAAGATAAGGAAGAAGATGGGAATCCTGGAGATCCCTAAGGCTACCCTGCCTGTCGATAGAAAATCCAATGAAGGCAGAACTACTAATGGTCCTGACTCTTCAGAAATGAAGTTTCGGGTCACCCCAGCAACCATGACCAGCTGAGGTGGCTGCTGAGGGTGTGAAACGGGTAGTGAAAGACAGTAGTTGTAAATAGCAACTACATCTGCGTGACTAGTTGCAGAAATGAGGCCTGTAATTATGAGTATTTCTTCCTCAATTTGTTGTTCTGTGTTGGTAGCTTCATACACAAACTTGTATATTATGGATAGATATATAGTACATATAAAGTAAATATTTTTGTCTTATCTCCTTGTAATGTAACATAAGATGAATTAAAAATAGTTAGCTTTACATCACAGAATGTTTTCTTTCTTTAGCCACGTGGCGTGTAGGGTCCTAGTTCCCTGACCAAGGATCAGCAGGATTCCTTTCAGTGGAATCGCAGAGTCTTAACCACCAGACCACCAGGGAAGCCCCCTGCATCATAGGATTTAAGTTACAGGATCTCATAGAGAAGAGTGACCATCACCCAAGGATTTGGCATCCTCTCCTGGGGAAAGGATCAGTGTGTTTGGATTATGGGCGGGATAGTCACATCACATTCAATGGAAGCAAGGCTGTGTTACTAACTTTATCTGGAGGTAAGTGTGGTTTAAGAGTGTGAGGGTACCTAGCTGATAAAGGGTGGACTGGGCTAGGCCAAGTTATTCAAACACTAATCTAGGTGTTGCTGGGGGGATTATTTTGCAGATATCATTAACACCTACAGTCAGCAGACTTTAAGTAAAGGCGATTATCCTTTACTTGGATTGTTGGCCTCATCCAACTAGGTGAAAGATCAGAAGAGCCAAATTGAGGTTTCCATTAAGCCCGAGGACCTCAGCATCAGCTGCTTATCAAAAGTTTCCAGCCTGCTGGCCTGTCCTAAAATGTCAGGCTCACCCAACCAGCCTCTACAATCACATAAGCCCATTCCTTGAAAGACAGAAACAAGCAAATAATTAATCTATGAATTCTGTTTCTCTGCTAGAACCCTGACCGATAAAGGGTCCCAGCTCTGGAGGTTAGGGGTCCCACTCCTCAGCCTTATGCACCATATTGGCCAATGGGGATTTGCTGCCAACAGGCTGTGTCACTTGTTTAGAATCAGGTGCCTCCTTAGGCTCTGCCTGAGACCAAATACATATGGGGGCTGCTCCTTACAGGCTTTGCTCTGTGCCTCACAAGGAAGGTTTCCTATTCCAAAAGTGGCAGGGCAGGCTTGTGGAAAGAGATAGAAGCAAGTTGTCCACTGAAACAGCAAGTCCTTAGGGTGGAAGGGGTAGGATATAAATGGTAGCTGTTTCCAACTTGGCACCTCTAAGAGTGACTTTGCCCACAGTGGTACCCAGGGATCCAACAGCAGCTGACTTTGTAATGCCCCTTGTATTCACGCAGGCCTGAGTGTACAAAAGCTTGTGTTTCCTGCTGCATAGCTGGCCAACAAGCATGCAGGCAGGCACATGTCATGGGGTCAACACTCAGCGATGTACTCAGGACCTTCCTGGTGGCTGGCGTGCCTGCCCTCATATAGCTTACATCCTGGCGGGACCACAGAGACTAAACAAGGAAGCAAGTGAACACACAAAAAAACAAGGGTTGGGGTGGGGGAAGCATAGAAAAAATACTGGGGTGGGGATATTTTAGAGTGGTGTGTTTGGAGAAGTTCAGGTGGTTAGACAGTGGTCAGGGAAGGCCTCTGAGAGGTGACACCTGAATGATGAGCTGGAGCAAACCAAGCAAAGATTTGGGGAAGAGTTGTCCAAGTGGCAAGAAAGGCAAGTGCAAAGGCCCTGGGGCAGGAACAAGGTCCGCAAAGCCACTGTCTTAGAAGGTGGCAGGTGGCTGACATTGAGTGAAGGGGGGTGGTGGGAGAAGGGATCCAGAAGCAGAGGGAATGGATCATGTAGGGCCTCCTAGGCCTTCTTAAGGAATGTGGGTTCTAGCCAAAGAGAGATGGGATCCATTGGAGGAGTTACAAGGGAGGGAACAGTATGGTCTGATGGCTTACAGTTCAAGGAGCTGGAATTTCATGGAGGAAGAGTGAGGAGAAATGATACAAGGGGTATAGAAGGGACGACTGCTCCACTGACAGCCGCAAATCCAAGGTCAGAGCAAGGAGGTGAGGGCATGGAGCAGAGCGCCCGTGATGATAGAAGACAGGTGGAAGGAAATGGGGACTGGGAGGAGCAGGGGATAGGTTGCCTGAGGTGGCAGGGAGCCGCAGACGGCGTCTCTGTGTGGGCTGATGCAAGACTCCGCCGCTAGGTGGCGCTGGAGGCAAACACGAAGGTGTTTGCAGGGCTGAGGCTGCAAGGGCCAGAGAGCTGGTTTGAGCCCTGGGGCCTCTACACCTGGAGCCCCTGCTTTTCTTCATTCATAACAGAGACCCCCAGGGACACATAAAACTGCTCTGCCCACCACGTGGGGGCCATGAGGCTCGAAATCACGCCTCCCGGAAGGTGGCAAACATGCCCCTGGATCGGTGTGCAGAACTAATCTAGAGGGTCTGTCCCACTGATAATCTTAGTAACAGTGTTATTTTTCAATATATTAGATAAGTGCATTTTCCCACTTAAATAGGGATATGAAGTTCCCTTTTGAAATACATTTAATTTAAAAAATTCCATTTAAAAGGTTAAGTAAATAATAGTCTAAAGCCTGTGCAGAGAAGGCAGAAATCATGGCAGTTGAATGATGGAGGCCAGGAAACACTTAAAGCTTTGTGACATATAGCCCATGGCGTGGGGGCGGTGGGGGTGGGGGGTGGGTATGTAAGGGAAAAAAAAATCTTTAATGTTTAAAAAAATATTTAAAAAGAAAAGACTTGAATCCCAGCACATGGCGTTTGTCTGTATTGGGTGGCTCCCACGGGTGCATGTGCGTCTGGGAGGAGGATGTAGCTGGGAGTGGTGTGTATTAGCCTGCGTGTAGGGGGCTGGGGTGTTCACAGCCATGGGCACATGCACACATGGTTATTTTCGTGTGCCAGCAGATTGATTTTTCTGGGTGGGTGTGTGGGTACAGATGTACAGGTGTGTGAACATCGAGTTACAGTTGCGGCCCTGGCCCTCAGCTCTACCCCGCGGCACTGGGCTGGGCCAGAAGCCTGGGGCTGGCTGGCCACCAGCCACCAGGAGGCAGCAGGTAGCCGGGCAGGGCCTTCGCCTGGCCGGGTCCCCTCTGGGTCTGGCATGTGAGGCCCGCTGAAGTCCCTCTCTGCCCTGTCCCCACGTCCCCTGTTAGCCCCAGGCTTCTGCTGATAACCCCAGTGGCCCTGGCAGAGGCTTTCTGAAAGACCTAGGACTCAGAAAGGAGAGCTGTTGTAGGTGGTGTGGGACTCGTGGGGTCCCTGAGTGGCTGGCCCCCGATCTCTGGGGCCACAGCTGGCTCTTCGGCAGTCTGGGCTCTGGGTCTCTTTCAGGGGTGCTCTGTAGCTGTCTCCTCTACTTTCAGCCCCAAGCTTGTTCAGATACTGCTAACCCCTTGGGCTCGCCCCTAGCTTTGTGGGGAGTAGGTCATCCTGAGGCTCCCACATGGGCATCACAGGGGCACCTGGACCCTAGAGCCCTTCAGCTCTGCCCCGCATCCAGGGCCACCACCCTCGCTAATGGGAAGAGCACCCCGGGTCAGCCCACTGGTGGCAGTGACTAACCCCAATCCCCCGTCCTCCTCACAGCCCTTCTGTCCACAGGTATGTGATGAGGTCCTACTATGTGCTGGGCACAGCTGCAGAAACTCACCTCCTAGCGATGGGCGGCTTCCTCCCTGCCAGCCCTGATGACCGAGGCCTCGCTGGACCAGAGTGTATTAATGCCCAGCAGCTCTCCTCCCAGCCCAGTGAGGAGGAGAAGGAGCCATGATGAGAAAACAGCCAACTGTGGGCCAGGCAAGCAGTACCACCTCTGATCCTCCCACCGACTCTAGGAGGTAGGTACAATGTGCCCATTTTATGGTTGAAGAAACTGAGGCTCTGAGAGGTTGAGTGATTTACCCAAGTTGCACAACTGGTGAGTAGCCCACCTTGGAAGCCACATTTAAGTAGTTTGCTCACGTTCAGAAATTCCATTTCTTAGAGATCCCTGTAGACACAGACTCTTTGTGATGGAATATGAAGGAGCAAGTCATTCTCCCGGGACTCAAGAGTGACTAACTCCCCCGTCCTTGCCCTCACCCCCACTGCAGGTGACCAAGTTAACAATCTCATGTGTGTCCTTCCAAATAATCCAATATGGACCTACATATATCAATACATATTCAAGGTCCGGGGCTGTCATCATGTCTGGTTTATAGACACTTTTCTCCCTCAATGACACTGTGGGAAACAGTAACACCGCCCGCCGCCCTCTCCCCACCAAAAAAATATTCCCGTCCTAACCCCGTGCTGGCTTTTTGCACTGACACAATCAACATGATGTATGATTCCATTTATACAGAAGGTCCAGAGCACATCTGTGGTTCCAGGGGCTGGGGGCGTGACTGCTTATTGGGTGTGTTGCTAAAAATGGTCTGGAATGTGTGCACACACAACATTGTGATGGTTCTAAACATCCTTGTAGATTTCAAAATGGTACATTTTAAGGTATGTGTATTTTACCAGGGTAAAAATAAGGAGGGTTGAATGAGATCATGCAAAAAAGCTCAAAAATATAGCTGGTATTATGATGATTATTAGGAGTTGAAGATGCAGGATTCTAAGTTTGAAGGGCTAGATTTTTCAAATTGAAATATAGTTGACTTAAAATGCTGTGTGAGTTCAGGTGTAAAGCAAAGTGATTCAGTTAACTTTACATATATATGCATTACATATATGTTACATATATGTGTACATTGACATATATTATTTTTCAGATTTTTTCTTTATATGTTATTACAAAATATTGAGTATAGTTCCCTGTGCTATACAGTAGGTCCTTGTTGTTTATCTATTATTATTTTATTTTATTTATTTATTTTGGCTGTGCTGGGTCTTCATTGCTATGCGTAGGCTTTCTCTAGTTGCAGTGAGTGGGGGCTACTCCTCACTGGGGTGCCTGGATTTCTCATTGTGGTGCCTTCTCTTGTTCAAGAGCACAGACCCAGCAGTTGTGGCACAGGCTTAGTTGCTCTTAGTTTGCCTGGATTCTCCAGGCAAAAATACTGAAGTGGGTAGCCTATCCCTTCTCCAGGGGATCTTCCCAACCCAGGAATCAAACCAGGGTCTCCTGCATTGCAGGTAGATTGTCTATCAGCTAAGCAACCAGCGAAGCCCATTCTATATATATAGTACTGTGTATAGTCAGTCAATTCATTCACTCAGTTGTGTCCAACTCTTTGCGACCCCATAGACTGCAGCACACCAGGCTTCCCTGTCCATCACCAACTCCCAGAGCTTGCTCAAACTCATGTCCATAGAGTCAGTGATGCCATCCAACCATTTCATCCTCTGTCGTCCCCTTCTCTTCCCACCTTCAATCTTTCCCAGCATCAGGATCTTTTCCAAGGAGTCAGTTCTTCACATCAGGTGACCAAAATAGTATGTATATGTTAATCTCAAATTCCTAATTTAATCACTCCCCTTCAAAGACAGATTCTTTTTTTTTTTGGCTTTGGTTTTGGTGTTGGTTTGTTGGTTGGTTCCATTTGTTTTATTTTGCTTTCTAACCCATTATCTCCAGGCCTCTCACACTCCCCTGCCAGGCCCCCCAGCAGCCGTCTGCCCTAAAGATGGGCATGCCTCTCTCCACTCAGGCACAGCCTCAGCTGTCACCCACCACCCAGGCCGGGGCACCCTCGGTCACTGCCATCCACCCGCCCCAGGAATGGAAAATGAGCGGCAGCCAGGAGAACAATAGCCTGCCAGGAAGCCGTCCCCTCCTAGGAAATGGAGCCAATTAATGCAGCTCCCCAGGCCCAGCCCATGGCTGGGGTGCTGGGGTGTCCTGGGCAAAACCTCTGCCCTCTGACCCTGCTCTGGTGAGGCTGGTGGGCACACGACTGCTCACCATACTCTCGCGGTGACTGTGGGTATGTACCCCCCAGGGCCTGATGCCCAAGGGAAACAGACAGCACCCCCCCACCCCCCCGCTGGGGCCTTGGGAATCAGTGAGGCCCCAGCAAGCCCTCCCTTTGGGGACAGCTTCCTGTCACATCTTTGCAGCCCTGGCTCCCTGCCTGAGGACTCTGAGAAGGAGGAATTGGTCATTTGGTCTCAGGTGCTAAGGGGAATTCTTGGCCCCAGCTGTGATTAAAACACTATGTTATAGTTTTGGTTTTTTTTGAAAACACATTCATGTGACTCAGAATTCAAAAGGCATGGAATTCCCCTACCACTTTCTCCCAGCCACCCAGTTCCTCCCAGAGGCAGCCGATGTTTTCAGCATCTTGTGCGCCCACCCAGAGGTAATTTGTGCCTGTCAAGCAAAAGCCAATATTTAGGGGTCCTTATAGGGTCCACCATCTTTATCTCCTTGGCTGCAAAGGGCAACAATCATCCCTGCCCCATTTGACAGATGAGGAAACTGAGGTTCAGAGAGAGCCAGTGACCAATCCATGGTGACACAGCGAGTGAGTCAGGGGCCAGCTAGACCCCCTCTCTGCCTCCCCATGTATGCCCCTACCCCACCCCCACTCAGGGCTTGGGAACTTGTAAAAGCCCTGTGAACAGAATACAGGCCTTACTGTTTAAGTCCTGCCTCCCGTGTCCATCTGTTTGAACATCTAGAAAATGTCATTGTACCTCTCTGAGCTCAGATCCCTTGCCTATACAATGGAGATATTTGATAGTTCCTTACAGGTTTATCGTAAGAACTGAATAATATAAAGCATGTAAAGACCTCAGCAGTTGGAAAGCTCCCCTGGAGAAGGGAATGGCAAACCACTCCAGCATCCTTGCCTGGAGAATTCCATGGAGAGAGGAGCCTGGTGGGTTACAGTCCATGGGGTCGCAAAGAGTCAGACACGACTGAGCCACAAACACTATAGGCTAATCCTAAGAACTGAATAATATAAAGTATGTAAAGACCTCAGCACAGAAGCTGGCTTTTCTATTCTCTTCAACAAGCATTTGTTGCAGGCCTACTATGTGCTGAGGACCTACTATGTGAAGATCCAGTGCAGCCACAATCCTGGCTCAGGGAGCTCACAGCCTAGCAGATCCATAATAAGAGCTCAGTATATGCGGATGTTATTATCTAGCAAATAGTCACCTCTCCTCCTGGTTCTGCGAAGTGGGGGTGAGATCTCTGTACCCATGTCTCCCCTGGAGTCTATCTCTCAGTGGAATGTGGAACTGTGAGAGGAATGGCCAGCATCTTGTTCACCACCCTCTGTGTCCCTGCTGGGGGTCACATTGGTGACCAGATGCTCAGCACATATTTGTGGAATGAATGTGCAGAGGAAAAAAGACGTGGTAGAAGAAAGCCCATCCCCCCAACATAAGCACTGAGATTGCTCTCGGATGGGGGGATGAACAAGTGATGCGATCTCCTTTTCTGTGACTTTTGACTATTCAGATACCCATTTTATGTTTTTTATATGTATTTATTTATTTGGCTGCACTGGATCTTGGTTGTGGCATTCAGGGTCTTCGATCTTTGATCTTCTTTGCAGCATGCAGGATCTTTATTTGTGCCATGTGAACTCTTAGTTGAGGCATGTGGGATCTAGTTCCCTGACCAGAGGTGGAACACAGGCCCCCCTGCATTGGGAGCATAGAGTCTTAACCCCTGGACCACCAGGGAAGTCCCTATATTTATAAAATTAATATGATTAATACTGAAAAGTTGAATGGCACAAGAGCTCATCCATGCTGAACGCTGTTATGTGTCCAGTGACGGGTGCAGGTGAGAATTCAGAAGCGGAGGGGCTGGCGAGGACGAGGTGCCCGAGCAAGGTGTCCTATAGAGGGTGGTCATGGAGACTGAGACGTTGGCGCTAGGAGCCACAACTGTTGTCAGCCTGGCTCCTGTTACCATCTGAGGATGTGCGGCTAAGTCCAGTGGGGCAGAATGGCCTTCTCTCAGTGCGTCCCCAGACCTCCTGTCCCCGCTGGACCCAGGCATCCCAGACTTTCCGAGCTGCAGCTGTGAGGGGCCAGGTGGGTGCCAGCACCTCCCTCCATGTGTTCACGGGTCCATAGAGCTCCTGGCGATGGGGGCTGGGGGCGCTGGGACATTGGGTGTGCTGCCAGGCCTGGGTGTGGCAGGTATTCATTCAAAACATTCAGACTTGTTCCCTTCCTATCTCTTAATCCAAAGACATGGGAACCCAACTGGCAGGAGTGGTCCAGACACCCCCAAAACTCTGATTCCAGGCTACTCTAATGGCAGAGGGAACTTGGAGGGTGCCAGCAAGGGGATGGGAGTGCACTCCAGGACAGCCCCTGCCTCAGAGACAGGCTGTTGGCGATGGAGGAGGTTTGGGAATCTCCACGGAGGGCAGGTCAGCGGGGGTGAAACAAGAGTCCGCGGTGGGGAGGCCCTCTCACTGACTGCTGTGTGGCCTTGAGCCGCTCACCTCCCATCTCTGGGCCTCAGCTTCTTGCAGAATTCAATAAGGGAGGCTAAATACAGTGGTCTCTAAAGCAGAATACCAAAGTGTGAGACAGTACCTCTGGGGGATGCAAGATAAGGCCGTCAGATACACAGATACAGCATTAAACACCTTATATCCCAAATCACAGGCTTTCTGGTGGCTCAGATGGTAAAGAATCCTCCTGCCAATGCAGGAAACCCGGTTTCAATCATCCCTGGGTCAGGAAGATCCCCTGGAGAAGGAAATGGCAACCCACTCCAGTAATTTTGCCTGGGAAGTCCCATGGACAGAGGAGCCTGGCGGGCTGCAGCCCATGAGGTCGCGAAGAGTCAGACACAACTTAGCGAGT